ATACCCGTGCTACTTAAGACTGGTTTTGTGGTCCAGGGTCACATATAGAAACTTTCAAACTCGCGCTAAAGTTTGGTCACAAAAGTAGGAGTGATATTAAGGTTAACTGAAGGTAAACATAAATGTTTAATAAAAAAAAAATAACACATTTGTACCAATCAAATCACCAGACCTCGAAACTTTGGCTTACTTTCGCTAGCTGCCCACGCTTTGCTAAAGACATTCAGACAAGTTTACAGGGGCTAAATAAACACGGCTTATAATGAGGTGGATGTGAACAATCGCTCATGATTACCTGTTACTGATGCCCATGTTCTCTAGGCTACATATGGTCTTTCAGTTAGAGAGGATTATGTCGTAACGACAAAGGTCGCTGACCCGCCCAGAACATTATCACACTCCCGGCACGTCCACGACCCCTACTGCTCCCGCAACCCAAACCCAGAGCCTATCTGCTCACAGGCATCAATTAACACCAGTCGGTTCCCAGGCACTGCTGCGGTGCCCAATGCAAGGATGCATTAGAATGGGATGAAAGAAGGTCAGGAGGTCAAGAACAGAAAGACAATTACTCTGTATCTTGCTATTTAACTATCCTGCCTCAATGTGTCGCTTACTATCAGTATTTACTCTATTTAACCATCTCTAACTCTATACATTTGTGTCTACTTTCTCTCTCTATTTAAACACATACATATGTAGACAGAACTCAGTCACACAATGCACTCAGTGATTAATAGAAACATCTTATTTACTTCTACTCTTCTTTTCCCAGTCTATGTTCTTAGACGCTGCATTCTGTGCAAGAAACTGAAAAGGTGTTATTTTGTGAGGAGCGAAGGATGAGTCAGTTAACTCATGTAAGTATGGGTTGATCCCTCAGGGCAGGTCACAGCATTGTGAACCTGACAACGAGACCTGCAAGCTCTTCTTTGCAGTAAAGGCTAGTTCAACCGGTCTGTCTGTCCAGCGTCAGACGGCTGTTTTGACCTGTATCTCACTCATTGTGTGAGAGTAGAGGTCACTAGGGTTCGAACATTTTTATATAGAATACACTTTCGATTCATTAAAGAATCCTGAAAAAAATATTAAGCAGCACTGCTGTTTTCAACATTGATAATACAAATGTTTCTTGAGCATCAAATCAGTATATTAGAATGATTTATGAAGTATTATAAAGTATGAAGTATTATGAAGTATTATTTACACTGAAGACTGGAGTAATGGCTGCTGAAAATTCAGCTTTGCATCACAGGAATAAATTAAATGTTACTTTAAAATAGCATTTCACAGTTTCAAGAAAATATATCTATATCTATATCTATATATATATATATTTTTTTTTTTTGTATTTTACAATATAAGAAAACTATTTTATGTTCACTAAGACTGCATTTATTTGGTCGGAAATACAGTATATTTGATAAGAAATATATGTAATATTTTAAATCCTATGATTCTATCATTTGATCATTACCGTTTCTTGTTCAACAAAAGAGTTCACCCAAAAATTACTAATCTGTCAATTCATATTCATATTTAAAAATGGTGCATTTCGCCAGGTGTGATGTTGGCAGCCAAACACCACAGATTTTCATGTGTTGTAACACAATTTTTAGGAATAACACAGGAATAAATTACAGTTTTACATATATTAAAATAAAAAGGAGTTATTTTACATTGTAATAACATACAATACTTCTTTTTTTTTTTTTTTACTATATTTCTGATCAAATAATGCAGCCTTGGCGAGTATAAGAGACTTCTTGGATATACATGAAAATCCTAAATTCTAACAACCATCTAGTTTAAAGGGATATTTCAACAACAAAAATGTAATTTCATGTTCAGGTTCAAAAATCTGAGTTCATCTCATTTTGCTGTTGGCAGCCAAACGCCACTGATTTTCAAGTGTTCTTACCAATCTTAAAATGTTATGTTCTTTTTTGTTATGTTTTTCAACGATATATTTGAAAAAGTCTCCACTGAAAATATAATATCATACTAGTTCATGATGTCGAGTAATGACTGCATTTTTGAGTAAACTGTTCCTTTAAAATCTATTTTCTTCAAACTGCTCAAAACAGCTGCACGAACTTGTTTTGTAGAAAAAATCATCGTGGATTTGCTTGGAAATGATCACAATGAAATGAAAATATGAAATGCTAAACCACTTCCACCACAGCCGCTGGGAATGTTCTGGAGTGTCAGTCGTAACAGGATTATCACCTTGTTTTTTGTGGTGAGATGGGTCATGTTTAAACCCATGTTTGTGGCTGCTCCCGCCATGGCACTGTGGAATTGTCACCTGTTCATCCAGCACAGACTGTATGTGGACAGCTGGACCGTTGTCTTCCTCGCCCATGCAAGGCCACTAAAACATCGCTGCGGCAGGGGGGTTAATTTTAGGGTTCAGGTTTCTCTCTGTGGTCTTTGCGGAGGAAAGGAGGGACGTTACCACAAGGAGGAGGAGGAGGATGGTATTGGATGCAGGTTTGGGAACAAGGATAAAGAAACACTAGAGTGCTTTTCTGTGGTTTATCTTGTTCACACAACCTTCCTTTGCCCATTCCCTCCCTCGTTTCCCTCCGTCTCACTGATACTATCACACCAGAAATGGTCCTGTGGGAAGAAAGGTGAGGAATTCAGTAGTATTAAATGTATTTTGAGGAATGAATTTGCTTTTAAAATAATTAATAGTAGTAGTAATAATAATATACCATACGTTCATGTCTCTATTAAGCTTGGCCTGCAGTGCATAGGTCTCCATTATTATTGCACATAAAGGTCTGTATACGCACAACCCTCCTAATAACGCAATGATACGCAGCTATTTAATTGTCTACAGATGTGCATCTGATATGATCTACTATTCGTAAATCTACCAGCCTGACAATCACCAACCGTCTTACTATTCCCATCAGGTTTCATGAGAACTGGTTTTGCATCTTTTGATCTTGCCATGAAGGAAAGTGATTGCAGGCACTTTGGAAACAGCAGGAGTTAGAGCAGGGGACCTAGACCTCTAGGGAGTGTGCTACGTTGCTGCAAGGGGACTGCAAATTATTGTTTGATCTAAAAAAAAATTACAATGTGACGAAAAGACTTCATTGAGGTTTAAAGGTTTTGCTAAATGTTGTTGTTGTTTCTCCTACAACATATTTTTTAAATCATTTAATTTATTTAATTATTAAAATTATTTAATAAATAAAAATATAAGGAATTAAAATAAATAAATAAATCCTTTCCCTAATACAGGTGATAAATCAATGCACTAAAACATAGTTTTGCAATTTCATCACAAGTCAATAAATAAATAAATAAGAAAGAAAGAATGAATGAATGAATGAATGAACACTTTCCCTAA